TTGAGGCGTAATGTCGCTGGACGAAGCAATAACGACAACCAATAACGGTTGAAAAAACTGATTTGCATACTCCAATTCTTACTCTACAATAAGACAACAACAGTATATCCCCCTTAATTAACTGTACGGATGCGTTTTACGCGGCGTTCATCGCACGTGAGGACAAAAAAACGTTTAAACTAACGCCGTATTTAATTCCTCATCATCAATTCATTTGAAGTCTCCTTCCCCTCCTCATCCTCCTCGACCAGATTCAGGTATCCACTCATCGCGTTATCCTCATCTTCATCTTCTGGAATCTGTTAGGCCGATGACGCCTGGCATACAGGTGCGTGCGCAAAAAAAACATAATTAACAAGGAAAGGTTGGACCTAGTAAAAGTGTATACAAACAGAGTACAAGCAGTCGTTTAAAGCGTGTACTTTGAGTTTTCATTGAGCCTTTATTCGGCACCTTCGCACTCGCTGACGAGATCTGTATCCAAAATATGGTCCAGTTCACCCGTTTCCTCCTACCCAGCTAGATCGTTCAAGTAGAAGTGATTAAGATCTGTAAAGGACGACGTGATGGAGATTAACGGTATTTATAGTAACGTGCATCTTGACAAAAGCGCTCTCACCATCGCTGCGTTACAAATGCAGTCTGAATAGGTATCACACGCAAGGCAAAATCAGACTCTGTGGGTTTATGCACTAAAATGTACTACCTCTTTATCCACACAAACTCGGACTGGGTTAATTTTGGGATCCTAGTTATCCCGTCAGACGGCAGCCTCCCAAGTCACGACTTTTAGCGCAACTTGGTTGAGTTGAGCGCGTTAGCTTGCTTATAGAAGGACGTAGGCGCTGAAGATTGAGCTCACTCTGTCACACTTTCCGTGTGCACGGTCAGCATTCGGTGGCGAGCTACGGATTGGATTTGAGATATGACTCATTCAGTTAGGCGCTTCCTCTGAGAGGAATGTTTATTGGATGGGTCGATAGAAAAAAGGCGGGCGATTCTCTTAGAGTTTGGGAGGCAGACCATATTTTCTCTTCTATATGCTTTACGCTAGCGAAGAACATTATGTTACCTTCGCCTGCTTTATGAATCATGCCCCTATTATTTTCTCCAGTGTAAATATTACGGTTACTATGTTGTGAACAACATATATGTCTCTTTCCGCTGCAGCTGACAATATCCGGAGTCAAAACATGGCCAAATACACCTGCATGCCCATTAATTCTCCTACATGGATAGGTAATTTTAGTGGTAATAATTACAAGCTTTCAAGGAATACGTGATATAGAATTACGGTCTTGACAGTGGATAAGGAAGAAGGATTGTCGAGTACTGGACCAATATGTTCATTATCCTGAGCTTTCGGGCTTTTGCGCGAATACATCTTCAGAGATAAAAGCGTCCACGAAAGGTAAGCAACAGTTATAGGTAGGCAGGAATCAATTAATCATCACACGGGCGGGGGGAGGGAAGGGGAGGGAATCCGTTAAAAAACAGTGTCGGTCGTGCGAATATGCATGCGGAGAGCGATTTATGCCGGCGCCAGATTGATCGATCGATTGACTGAATTC